TGTTCAAACATGTTCATAACATATTAGAGGACCTCTAAGTCCATTTATACATGGCCTTGATTTTTATTTATATTTATCTTGATTTTATTTAATTTAAAACAAAATAAATTAAATAAAAACACAAAAATCATGGGCTAATGCATATGGGCTTGATTTGATCAACTTTGAGGCCCATTAAATCGTGCAACCCAGCCACAATATGTCCAGGTTCATGCAAGTTCAAAATGGCAAGAACGCTACAAAGTTTGACAAGTTTTAAAATTTTGATTCTTGTCTTAAAACATTGTTAAATGCTACAAAGTTTGACAAGTTTTCAAATTTTGATTCTTGTTTTAAAATATGGTTAAATGCTTGATTCATTTTCATATTTTCTAGCCCATTAACTCTCTATATAAATACTGAGCCAAAGCAAGCAAAAGACCACGAAAATCATTGGCACAAAAGCTCTCCAAAAATTCTCCAAATTCAAAAAGTTGTGAAAATTGTATCTCGCATCTCCAACAGTTTTCAAACCAATCCAAACCTTCCATTGTCCTCTTAACGTTGCCAGGGGTCAGAACCAACCATTACCCTTTGCAAATCAACCCCGGAAACCACCCTCACCTCAACTCCGATTGGTAAGATTGGTAGGTTTCATTTTCTCAAGATTTTCATGGTTTAAATCCTTGTAAGCATGCTTATTCCATTTATATGTATTTCCTGAATTTTTTTAACGTTTTACATGTAAGTATGGATACAGAAATAACAGCCTAGACCATGGCATGCCTCCAGAGAGTGTTCCCACTAGATCATGCAACAGTTGGGCTAACGCTTAGGCCTAAAAATATTTTGCTTTCCCTTGCACCCCCCATTTCTTTTTCACAACGCAACCCATAGATCTTTATTTTTTTTATTAGTTTGCTTTAATTTAATTATTTTCTTTTAATAACTTTTTTTAATAAAAATCATTAAAAAAAATTAGATATAGATTTTAATTAATTAACTTTATTTTCACAATAAAAATTAATTAATTTAATAACCTTGACTTTATTTCATTAATTTAAAATATAATTAGAATTAGGCTTTAAATATCATTCGATTAATTTTTATAAATAAAGACACCAAAAATATTTTTTATACTTAGAATTTTTTTAGATATCTTGCCTTCTTCAATCTCCGCGCGTTTATTTACTTTTTCGCATTTTTTTTAATATAGTAAATGTCCAAAGTTTGTAATAGCTAATTAAGACCCTTTTATATTTTTATCCCCATTTTATGGTTTGTATTTCCCCATCCCTGAAGCGATATCATAGCGTAGTTTAATTCCTGCACTTTTATTTTCTGCCCTTATGTATATATTTAACGGTTAGACTAATTAGGCGTGCATGGCAAGACTTAAATGCAAAACGCTAGAAAACCTAACATTCAAGATAAGCATAACTTAAATACAACACACTTCACACACGCGCACCTCTAAGGTACTTCCACTTGTTGCCTTCTAAAAACAAGAAGTCACGTCTCTCGAACGTGAGACGTTTTAGCAAAAACCCTTTGGTTAAAAGATCATAGTCCCTCGATGACCCTTTGATGCTGCCTCGGTAAATGATCTTAGTACCTTAGGATAATTGCTAAAGTGTCCTACGAGTTGCCTTCATGACTGTACAATGACCCGCGCCTGTCCCTCAAACTTGAAATGATAGGGCTACCCACCAACTAATGGTAGGATAACACTATCTAAAGGAAAATGGGAAAATAACAAAGATATTTTGAGTAGGTAGATAGCTTGTAGTTGCTCGCTCACAAAACAAAACAATTTCTCACACATACACTCTCTTTTCTAAATATTTTCAAAGACAAAACACTTTGTATGCATTCTCAACGATACGAGATTCATTACAAAGTTCTCCGCACTAAGCATCTTTTCAAAATATTTTCAAATACATTTACACCAAAAAGCATTTTCAAAAGTGAGCTAGCAACTAAGAGCTCGTAGATAACTACAGATGGAAAGGGTGCTAACATCTTCCCTTTCCATAACCTACCCCCCGAACTCAAAATATTTAAAAAGGTATTTCCTGTTTTTTTCACCCTTTCCTTTGTTGGATAAAAGAAAAGTCGGTGGAGACTCCTGCTAACCGCAATATTTGTGATAAAATGCAAAACCAGTAAAGTTAGTTCTCCCACCGTATTACAATATGCATGACCTATACACATTTTGTCTTAATAGTCACGCCTTTTAAGAATTGGCGCAATTATTACATATCTTATTCGTCGGAAGAAAATGTGATCCTTACACATCCCTTTAATTAGGAACATACGTATTTCTACAGCATCGCCGGGGGATCGTCCCCGGACAAAAGTAGGCTACCCTTCATAGTCCGCCTTATGTATTTGACCTTTCTTTTAAAAAAATGGGGTAATCCACACGATTTTTACAAAGATAGTAGCGTTATTCATATCAGAGGGTAATACAATGATTCAAAATCCAAATGTTTTCCTACTATACTTAGCCTGGATATCATTCGGTCCCCTCGGCCTGGGTAGTTTCTTGTCCTATTGTTAGTTGGAAAAAGGTTGATGTGGATGGTCTTCAAACTGCTTTATGGTCTCTAAGACCCCTTTCGCCGTTACTGCTTTCTTTGTTAGAGTCTTTTAATGGTTAGTGATTGATACTCATGGATGTTTGACAAAACTTAGGTAGATAAAAATGTTCTGGTCGATCTCAAGTCCAAGTTACCGCTGCGATGAGGTATTATCCGTTTTCGGTGTGGGAACCCTCTTACCTCCGTCCTTTGGAAAATGTGCTTTGTAGTATGTGTCTTGCAACACTAATGATCATCTCTTTGCACTTGTCGTTTGATTAATTTAGGGGTGGTGTTCCATCCAACACGGTCGACCGTGGTCCATATGATGGCATTTGCAACGACTTCTCAAAAAGTATATTGAAGAAACATACACGACCTATTTCCTATTTGTTCGACCTTGGCAGGTCTTTATTCTCGCTCTCATGAGTGATAAGATCGACACGTGCCCTACCGAATCAGCTCTCATGGAAGACGCACCACCCATTTGCATTCTTACATCCCGACCATCTCGAGGTATATCGAGCTACTAATATTTCTATTATCGTTGGGGTCATGGTTTCAAGGAAACAATATTGAAGATTTTGTTGATCCTTTCATGTCTTCAGGGTCTTCGACATTATTTCACATTCTATTTATGATGATCAAAGGTAATTCAACTGCGGAAACTCCCCCCGCTTGATGGTTCCTTTAGGTTTCATCGATGCCAATAATTGGAAGGAGGTTAGGTTGAAAGGGTAAGAAGGAGATATAAACAGAGGTCATCTTGCCTTATCTTGGCGTTTCGCTATGGAAAAATGGCTTTCGCATCAGATAAGATCTGATTGTAGAAATTTGCGAGAACAAATAGTTGACTCTCATAGACGACACCCCTATTATAGATCAGAACTAAAATTGTGCTTGAGGTATGATGTCAAACTTCTGATACAATACTGCAAGTCTTCAATGCGATAGATCATGGGAGATGGACATGCAAGATTTACACTTTAATGCCAAATCATTTAATGAGTTCAAGAAAAAAAAAGTGAAATATGAAAAATATGAGTGTACATTTATATTTGTCGACCGAGTTCGTTATTAAACCTTTTGTAAAGTTATAAATGAGCCTCCATTTAACAAATATATGTCACGTCCATTTTTATAGGGGTGTTTGCGGTTCGGTTTGGATCGATTTTAAGGAAAAAACTCATCTGATTCAAAAATAAATTTACTTGCGGTTCGGTTCGGTTTTGGATGATATATTAAAAAAATCTAATCTTATTCGATCTAATTTTATGCGATTTAATTTGGATCAGTTTTTGGATATCCAAATTACACATTATATTTGTATTAATATTATAAAACTACTAATAAATCATAGACTTGATATAATATATAACATATAAAATATTAAAAGTTAATATTATAAAATGAAAGTGATCGATTATAGTTGAAATAACAAAAATAAATAGATTATACCAAACTAATTATAAATATTATTAAAAAAATTATTATCATCTAATAATAAATTCATGTAACATATCATACTAATAAAAAGTAAATAAGTATAAAGATATATGTATACGATTCAGTTTGGTTTGAATCGATTTTAAAAAATTAATTTAAAATTTAATTCAAACCGATCGATTTTCACAAAATGACATTCAAACACATCTAATAAATTTCAGTTTTTTGTGATTTTCAATTATTTAGATTGATTTTCGATTTTTTATATAAATTGATTTGGATTTAAACACCTCTACATTTATATATTATAAATTTAGAACAAAATCTTTTATGGTCACAAAATAAAAAATATAAGAAAAAAAGGAAGTCAAATTTTTTTTGTTATTAAAGTAAGTATTAATTTTGTGTGTGTCTAGACACCATACATTAGGTCTTGTGACCATACAAGACTACTAGTTCATAAATTTAACACGAGTGATGTAAATATATATGACGGCAATAAATTGGATTGATTTATACATTAGCATGTATAAAATTTAAAATTATTCCATTTAACACTCGTACCCCTTTCTACATATTACTGCTTACCAAGGACATGGAATTCAAACCAAACAGTTACATAACAACACGACACGTAAGGTGCACAAAGACACGTGTGTCTTTGAAAATTCCACTTCGACGGCAAAAACAATTACTACGTAAGATGACATAAATGGATTTTCGATATGTTTCTTTCATAACAATGACGTCTCTAAAATGACGTATCTATTTTCCCATTCACTTTAGACTTTCATGAAAAGTTATATAACATCTCTCTCTATTCCATCACATTCCACAACTTTAATTCCTCTCACTTGTTCTATTCCTATATATCCACTTCCACAACAACTCACAATTTCATCATATTCTTTAAATCTTAACCTACCTAGCCTAGCTCATCTTAAAAGGAATAAAAACAAAGATTAATTGATTAATAATATAGTTTTATCTATAATGGATCATATGAGAAATGATCAACCTTGTACCTCTACAACCAAAGTTGAAAGAAGACTCGTGGAGAAAAACAGAAGAAATCAAATGAAGATTCTCTACACCAAACTCAACTCTCTTCTCCCTAACTATAATCCCAAGGTTCTACTCTCTCTCTCTCCCCGTAAAAGTTAGTTATTGTGTTTGTTTGATTTGATTATTTATATATACGTAATGTAGGAGTTGGTGTTGGCATTACCGGACCAAGTAGAAGAAGCCATAAACTACATTAAGAGTTTAGAGGCAAATGTGAAGATGGCTGAGGAGAAGAAAGAGAGATTGTTAATGGAGAAGAAGAAAAGATCGCGTGAATGTTTCTTAGGTGTTCCAAAATCGCCATGTTTTGAAATTCATGAATTTGGTTCTTCTCTACAAATTGTTCTTACGTGTGGTTTAGATAATCAGTTTATTTTCTATGAAATCATTCGTGTGTTGCATGAAGAGAATGTAGATGTCAAGAGTGTCAATTCCTCATCTGTTGGAGAAAATTCATTTCTACATGTCGTGCATGCTGAGGTATATATCTCGTTTGTTAGTTACTTAATTAAATGTTTGCATTTTCTTTAATTTGATCTAGTAACAATTTTTTTTTAATGCAGATTCCTCAGTGTTATGTTCAATTTGGTGCGACAAAAGTGAGTGAAAGATTGAAAAGTTTTGTGAATGGATCATCCAGTGATGTGGAAATACAGCCTCATGACTTGTGGTTTTTAGAAATTGGAAATGATGTGTGGAGTTTCTAGGTAGAGTCATGCAATTACTAAGAGTTTCTAGTTAGCAAGTCATTCTATTGTGAGTTGTTTACAATAATTAATTGAAGAAAAGTATTTATGAGATGACAATGTACATGGTTTTGTCAACAAAAAAAAAACTCATAATTAGAAAAGAATGAGACCTATAGTGCAATAAATATTAAGCATGTTTACAATGCAACAAAAATAACAAGACTATAAGGACTTCAAAATTTAAAATGAAACAATTGTTGAAATTGTTGGAAGAACATCATCTAGTGGTGTAGAATGTTTAGTGATGTAAAACATGTTCAAGATATTTTTTGTATGCATTCAGAATCCCTCCAATTGTTTCATGCATTTTTCAATGTATTGATAATTGATTCAACATACTTAGACAATTGCTAGAAATTGTTGGAAATATTTATAAATAGATGACATTGTAGAATGTGAAAAGAAGGATAATAATAATTGTGCTATAGAAATGTATCACAATTTGTTGAAAAATCTAGAAAATATATCAAAGAATATTTTCTTTCATCGTGATACTTCACTGATAAATTTTGTTAGTAAAAATATTTCCTACTTTATATGTTTTATTATTGTGGTGGTATCACATAACTAACCGTGTAAGATCTAGAGTTAAATTGATTTTAAAAAAAAAATTTTAAGGACGAAGATAAGAAAATTGTCAAATTTAAGCAAACATTGGAAATAATAATGGAACCTTTGAATGATGTAATAAATTTTTCTACAGAAGAGTCCTATATTTATTTTGTCTTGAAATTTAAAAATGTGAGTGCAAACTTTCCAGATTTTTGAAATATTTAGAAATTACAATATTAGATCTCATGAAGGAGAAAATAGTAAGTGTTTGAACCGATTAAATTAGACATATTGACAATACCACCATAAAAATAGTTGAGATACATACCTCTTTCGGTCAAAGTATCATCGTATATTAGAACATAAATTTAAGAACAATGTTTTCTATTCTAAGTTAATTGGAAATATTTCTCGTTCAGGTTTCAATTTTATTCATAACAAAGTTGTACAAGCAGATAAAATTAGTTCAAATAGCTCAAATTATAGTTGAACAATTAGAAAAATATATTGTTAGAAGTCGAAGAAGATGAAGTTTGGAATATCTATATATGGATGAGGTAAACACACACTAAATAGGGTTTTGGTTTGATGATGATGATGATGTGATCAAAGATGGTAAATCATACATGTTCGAACAAGATTTGGTTCTGCAATATTATCTCTGAGTTTTGATGATAACAAATGAGTATGTTTGTATGAACAATTTTGGTACTCTAATGTTTGTTATTTTGAGTATTTAAACAGGTTCTGCTTTTGATGAATGGCGCTGCCAAGACATTAAAAGAGAATAAGTTCCGCTTCTAGGCTACACAAGTTTCGATGAACAATAGCAAAAAGCTTCAGAAGACTCTGAAGTAGGTGACTCTGATACAAGTCCATGAAACCAAGTTTTAAAGATCTGAAGACACAAGTTTTAACTAAAGTTCAGATGCTGGAGAATTATGTTTCTGAAGACTAAGGGTTCTCAAGATCAAATGCTGAAGACTTTGAAGACGCAGTTCTGAAGATTCTGAAGACTTGAAGTTCTGGTGACCCAAGGTTCTACAAAGGATTCTCGAAACCAAGTGCTAAAGACTTTGAAGACGTAATTCTGAAGACTTGAAGCTCTGGTGACCCAAAGTTCTACAAAGGGTTTTGAAGACAAGTGTTGAAGAATCTGAAGACGCAGTTTTGGAGACTCTGCAGACTTGAAGTTCTGAAGACCCAAGTGTTATTCTCGTTCTTCCAACGCATGCTCAGAAGCCTCTGATGTCAGAAGAATAAGAGGATAAGATTACGTGGTACAAAAGTACATGGTACAAACAAAACGTTTCATCCTATTACCATGAAGGACGGACGCTGCGTACGATCTTGTCCCCCATATGATTGCTCAAGCCGCCAACTTTCTGGAATTTCCAAAAATACCCTTCAACCGTTATAATATTTTATTGACCATATAAATGCTTGAAGACTATGAGAGAATGATGCTAATTCACGTTGATACACTTTCTATTAAGACTGTTCATAAGCTTTCATATTTCTCTAGTCTATATTCTAAAAATATGGTTAGTATTCAGCTTGTGTCAAAGCATTTTCTTGTAAATAAATCATTCTCAACCAGTTGTTTGATATTTCCTTAAGAGACCAGTTAGGTCAGATTTCTTGAGAAGTCTAAGACTTATCTGTCTTAGAGATTGTTTGTTAGTCACCATGGGTGGTTCTACCATGCGGTCAGCTTGGGCAAATGCCCAGGCTCGGCCCGGCCCAAATTTTTTTTAGTATTCATGTTTTTTTTAAATAAATAAAATTAAAAGAAAAAGAAAAAATAGTGGAACCTAGAATTGAAAAAACCTAAAGAAAGAAAGGATTGTTGAATAGCAGTCGTCACCATTCTCTTTCCTTATCTGTTCAATCTACCTTCACCAACTTTAATGTAAAATTCTAACTTGATTATTAAATAGCAGATGTGTGTGTTTCTCTTTCTATATAATACAAATATATTACATGTGCTTGACTTGGTCTGTTAATCTATTTTATATGTTTGTCGCAACAAGAAATAAGGATCTAGAGATTACTAATAATATGCTGGTAAAGAATTAGATAAGCACATATATAATTTTTCTCTTTTTGTACTTTTATTTCACTGGAAAGTTGACAAATGTTCGATGCAAAAAGTTTAATTTGAGCCACCAAACTAGTACAAAATGGAATTGACATATTTACAATTACAAATCTATTAGTGATTATGCTAGTTGCTATTTTTTAAATGAAACTTGTAGTAATAAGTCTATATATTATACTTGTTTAATTTTATGTTTGATTCTAATTTATTGGTTAGAGTTTAGGTTGTTTGATTAACCATGTACTAATTTATTTATTTATTTATTAGAGTTTAGGTTGTTTGATTAACCATGTACAATTACAAATACTAATTTATTTATTAGAGTTTTAAATTTTGTTTTATTTGTTTGAAGAACATTGTTTATTCTTATTTATTTTATTTGATTATTATTATTTTAAATTTTGAAACTACAATTTTGTAATTATTTTATCTTTTGTTCAGAGATGAGGAGATTTTTGGCTGCTAGAGAAAATATTGAGAATATGAATGTTGTGCAACCAGAAGTCGAATTAGAACCACTGTCTAATGGGGTTAATGAGTTTAATTCAAATGAGATTGTGCGTGATCCAGGTCGTAGGAAATAAATTAATGAGTATGCTCCAGATATCCAAGACCAAGTGAGGAGTATATATATATATATATATATATATATATATATATATATATATATATATATATATATATATATATATATATATATATATATATATATATATATATATATATATATATATATATATATATATATATATATATATATATATTGAAGGGTCCAATGCAACCAGATTTGCCAAGCTTTCCTCGTACTTTATTTGGGAGTATTAAAAGATTATTTAATAAATCATGGTATAAGAATTATACATGGTTAGAATACAGTGAGATGAAGAATGCAGCTTATTTTTTCATTGCTTTCTCTTTAAGCAACCCGGGAGGGCCGATCACTTTGGTTTTGAAGTCTTCACTAAAAGTAGATATAGAGATTGGAAGCATGCATATCAAGGCTTGAAAGGTCATAATGGTAGTCATAATAGTTTGCGCAAGTCATGTGTCAAGCACTACGATGATTATAATAATCAAAGAAAAAGTGTGACAAGTACGTTTGCTAAAGAAACCAAGGATTCAGAAGAATTGTATAAGATTTGTTTGACTTGTTCTATAGATTGTTCAAGATATCTCATAGCACAAGGCACGAATTTATGTGGCCATGATGAATCATCTACTTCTCTAAGTAAGGGTAATTTTAGAGAGATGGTAGATTGGGTAAATTTCAGAATGAACAAGTGAGTGATGCTTTTGACCGTGGTGGAAAAAATTGCACAATGACTTCTGGTGACATTCAAAAGGAGCTTGCAACGTGTTGTGCACATGAATTTCCATGGAATTAGTTGATGATGTCAAAGCTCGGTTGGCCACAACGAGAGAGAGAGAGTGGTTGGGATAATTTATTTTTCGATGTCCAAGATTTTTATGTTGCTAAAGGTATTCCGGTTCCAAATGTAGATGACGAAATATCGATTCAGGATCGTTCAAGGATATAAGGGAGGAATATCACTAATCTTCATCATTACCGTGCATAGATTTCTTATGTTGTTATTGACAAAATATGTGTGGATATTGATCATCACTTTAGTGAAGGAAGTAACATTATCCTTAATTACTTCTCATGTCTTGACCCCAATAACTCTTTCTCCAAGTTTAATGTTGATAAGCTTGCCCGTCTTGCTGATATTTATCATGCAGACTTTTCTGATGATGACCGAGGAACAATAAGGGATCAACTTGACACTTATGTTCTTTAAGTGAGAAGAAATTCTTTATTTTACACTTGTGAAGATGTTCAAAGTTTGGCTATGAAGATGGTTCAAACTGAGAAACATTTGATATTTTCATCGGTTTATAAATTTATTGAGTTACCTTTGATATTGGCGGTGTCAACAACATCTGTTGAAAGAGCTTTTTAAGCAATGAAGATTATCAAGTCTAAATTACACAATAAGATCAACGATGTTTGGTTCAATGACTTGATGGTATGTTACACCGAGCGGGAGATATTCAAGTCACTTGATGATATTGATATTATTCTAACATTTACCACAAAGAAGTCTCGAAAAGTACATTTGCCTCGAGATTTTATTTAACCCGCTATTGTAAGGTTATATTTATCTCTTTTATTTTAAACTATATTTTTATTGAAAAAATGACGAGTCTCTTTTATTTTGATTGATAACTATTTATATATTATATACAATGTGAATTTGCGGTCTTTAATATTTTACCCAGGCTTTATAATTTTTCTGGCTCCGCC